AAGCCTGCCGGAGCCCGTTTCGGGGGTGGTGGCCCGCACCCGAGAGCTTCGTCTCTCCAGGAGCGAGGTCCTTGGGCACCGTCTCGGGGCGCCCAGGCCAGGTGGGTGGCGGGCCCCCGGGCGCGGTTCCCGAACACTGCGTCCTGTGAGACTCCGCTTGCTGGCTGCGTCCTCCTGGCAAACTCCAAACGGGAACAAAACGAATTCTGGGGACCCCCCCGCCGAATCCAGCTTTGGAGCAGCTCCTGGGACCGTGAGTTTACTGACTCTTCGAGACCAAAGCAACGAGGCGGGGCGCTCATCACTCTTCTCCCCGTGCCGTCCGCAGAGCCTGGCTGTCCCCGCGCGTGACGCAAGGCCGAGCGGTGCACCTGTCCCCCACCTGCCACAGAGCCGGCCGGGGGCAGGCTGGGACAGCTCAGAAAGCCACATCCCGGACTCCCATGGGGAGGTCCTCTCTTCCCTGGAGCTCTCCCTCTGCGGGCACTGAGCATCTGTCACCGCCTCTGTGTCTCCAGGAGTCTCATGGCCCAAAACCTCTGTTCGATGCAGGGCCTTCCGAAGAGGGTCCCCAGGAGGCTTCCCCAGAGCCCACCAAAAAACACCCCAACCGCCCGGCAGTTCATCTTACCGAAATGCAACCGCAGCTCACGAGCTGTCGGTCACCCAGCGCTCCCGGTCCCGTGGGATTGCTTTTCAGACGCACCTGGCTCTGTTCCTCGGGAGGCCGGTTCCCACGGCGGGCGCGCCCCTGTCCGCCTGCGCCCCCAGCCCGACGGCACGGCTGGATATTTTTCTGCCAAACCTGTGTAGGCCTTTTATAAGCTACGTGTTCTGATTTTTACCAACGTTAATTATTTTGACAAATATTCATATATTTTCATTGAAATGCACAGATCTGTTCGATGATTCCCTGTAACCTGGGAATGACGTTTGCCTTAAATCTTTTCCAGCTCGTCCTTGTGCACTGTGTTCTGTCTCTTTGACTGTAATGGGTCTCAGTGGTTCCTTGTGGGCCGGGGGCCCGGCGCGTGTCTATTGGATCCACAACTCTTAACGAGAAATCCACAGAACAGATAAAATGTTAACCCTAAGTTAATAAAAAGAGTTAACATCCCACAGCGAAGGAGCCGTATTTCTTTCCGAGGCACGACAGTTAAACGTGGGTGCTGGCCCGTGTGTGAAATGGCTTCATTTGTGGCTTCTGTACCTTTCCGAAGCCATTACGTGGAAGGACTTTAGCTTCAGTAAATGTCGACAGAGTCACGGGAGAAGTCCCCGAGTTCCGGCCCCGGGGTGTCCTTTAGCACAGGGGTCCCCAATCCCCGGGGCCTGTGGCCTGTTAGGAACCGGGCCGCACAGCAGGAGGGGAGCGACGGGTGAGTGAGCGAAGCTTCGTCTGCATCTGCGGCCGCTGCCCAGCGCCGGCGTCACTGCCTCAGCCCCCCTCAGCCTCCCTCATACCATCAGGCGTTAGAGTCTCACAGGAGCGCCTGTTCCTGGTGCCGAAAAGGTTGGGGACCGCTGCTTTAGCAATGAGACCCTCTTCCGGCCACAAAAGCCTCCTCCGCTGTGCCCCAGAGCGCCAGCCCTTTCACCTCCAGCTGCCAGGTGCGATTTAATTAGGTCACAGCTTGTCTTTTTGCAGTGACTGCGAGCCTGCTACCGGGGGTCCCGTGCTGCCTGCGGTTGTCACCGTGGCCTCTCTGCGAGCTCAGCAGCATGTGGCTTCCTTGCCGCAGATACAGGAAATGCACCAACTAGAAATGACAGGAATGAACGGAAGCGGGTGACGAGCGTCGTTCGGGATTCCAGGGCTAATGCAGAATTTCAGGGTTCAGCTCGGCCTTGGGAGCCCTGGGACCAAAACTATGGCACCTGTACCCTCTCTGTGCTGGAACGGTGCCCCCCCCTCCACTGGGTGGGACAAATGACAAAACCACCACCGTCTTGCAGGTGAAATTGGTACCCATCCTCGCCCCTAACCAAGCCGAGGCTGCTCCTCGGCCTTGGTGGTGTGCCTTGCACCGGTGTTCACCAAGACCCATCAGCGGTGGCCATGGGGACAGGCTCGTGCACCAGAACCTGGCCGCAGGGAGCTTCTCCATGACCAGGTGGCTGGAGGGGGAGAGCGGCGTGTGGCCATCAGCAGGCGAGGAGACACCCAGCCGACACTGGCCCGTGAGCGCCACCAGCCAGAGCCGTCAGCATGGGGCGGCGAAGCAGTGTGAGCGGTCTGGGGGAGCAGCAGCCCGAATACCGGCGAAGACCCCACCTCCCACCCGAGACACGTGGAGTTAAAACCAGCAGCTTGCTCGGTGCCTCTGGTGCAGGGACCACTGTCGCCCTGAGCGCCCTTTGCCCACTCAGAGTTTGTCGTGTCACACGTTTAGACGCAACCAGTGGACCCCCGAAGGACACCGACCTCAAGAACCACGGCCGTAAGTTCATCTGGACTCGCTTGGGCTGGACGCGTCTGTGGGTTTTGTTTTACGTGACAGAATCCTGGATCTTCCCTTCTAAATCTGTCGTTTCACAGACGTGAAGTGACTTGCCTTGGGCCACACGCTGGCTCGGTTGCTCCCAGCCATGTACCCAGAGAGGGCGACGGGCTCTCCGCAGAAGGGGAAACCAGCTCTGCGGCTGGCCAAGTGCAGCCATGACGCATTCGTTACAAACTAGTTCTATGTCCAGGAGGTGACATTTTTCCGGCCCTGTCCCCAAATTCTTTGGCACCTCACAGGGGTTCCCCAGGTGCATATGCCCATCCCTCTTCGGCCACTGCTGTCTTTAGACGCTGTAATTCTGCAAAAGCCCGGGGAGAACTGTACTTTTTATAGAAGACAGGAAGGACGCTGGACAGAGCTCGAAATAAATAAGCAAAAGAGCACCGTGGTCTAAATGTGGCCAACAGCGGAGTACCCTTGAATGTGGGGAGACTGTCATTCATTACATTTAAATCACTGATAGCGTGGCCAGACTGCATGCAACCCGGATACTTGGGGTACGCCGGGTCCCCGGGGAGCAGGTGACGGGTGGAGGTTTAGATCAGAGGATGGAAAGGGAAGGAAGCAGAGAAGTAAGTACGGAAGAAGGACATTAATGAGGACCCGCAGGGGTGATGGGAAGCTAGAGCGAAGCCATTCTCTAGCCTCTCAAGGTTCTGCCCAGCCGGCTGGGGGGCGACCGATGCTCGCTGCTGCCACGAGAGAGGCGAATCCTGCACCCCAGTCCAGCCTTCTCTGCTGCTTTCTGTCTTTCCTGGCTGGCCGTCCAAGGCCTTTCCTGCCACCCCAGGCTCTGTGGCTTGTTTGTGCACAGAGCAGCACATCTAGGCAGTGCAACGCGGCGCCCAGCTTATGCCCCGGGGTTCACTTCCCACCCCCCAGAGTCCCCTCCTGATATGTACTAGGCTCACGAAGCGTGATCGGATACCTCCGAGGATCCCAGTTGACCAAACGGGAACCCAAGGCCCAGAGCGGAGGACACCTCTCGCTGAAAACAGTGGTTCTCAACTGGGGGTGGGGAGTGGGGATTGGGGATGATTTTTATCCCTCTGGGGACATCTGGCAAGGTCTGGAGGGAGGGACTGATATCTACTGGCTTGAGGCCCGGGATGCCGCTATGGAATGCACAGGCAGCTCCCACAACAAAAAATCACCCACCCCCAAAATGTCAGCTGCGCCAAGGTTGAGAAACCCTAGCTAGAAGAAATAAAATAAAGACACTGTTCTCGACTTCATAGATACCCTGAAATTAATAAAACTGCCCGTCATTTGATTTACCTCCCCGTTCATGTGCTAAAGCCACAGAAAACCATACAAATTTCCTGTTTTAAAGAAACCCTTTTTTTAAATCCAGAAAGCCAAGGGCCAAGTAAAAGCAGCTCTTTGGTCTAAGGGCGCCACCTGGTGGTCATCTCCGGAATCAAGCGAAGTTTGGATTGTCTTGACTTTTTTATTTTGAAACAATCACAAAGCAAAATTACCGAAAAGCTGCAAAGACAGTAGAAAGAAATGTTTTCCCGAACAATCAAAGTAAGTTACCGATATGATCCCCTAACACCCCCCAAATACTTCAGAGGCTATTTCCTATAAACCACCTTTTCTACCTGACCATCAGAATCGGGAAATTCGTAACTAGAATCTCAGCAGCAAAGCCACGTTCTACTTCTCATTGCATCCTAATAGGTGATACAGGATTTTCATTGGTCCCATTATCGGTGCCATGAATTTTGATCACTTCATTTCCCCTTGGCAATGAAGCGCGGCCCGCTAAAGCCTGTCCACTTTCGCCACGGTGCGGCGCTGTGCTGAAGATTCCAGCCAGTGCAACAGGGCAAAATATCAAGAATTAGCATAAAATCGTAAAGAAAGAAAGAAAACTCATTCTCAGATCGGATGTCTTTTCGGGACGGGGCGGTAGCCACGCGGGTGCGCTCATGCGTCGCTTAGCGGGCTTCTGACTCGCGCGCTGTTCTGCATATCTAGCTTCAATATAAATATTTAACTGTCTAGAGAGCAGAAGCCTAACCGGAAAGGCGACAGTGCCCGGTGGCGGGTCGCACTGCCTGGGGTGGCGGGGGTGGGGATGGGGCGGGCGGTCCCAGCCGCCAGGCCGGGAGCAGCTGATCCAGGCTCAGGTCTCACTTCGTAGCCCGGAGGCCGAAGCCCGGGGCCCTTCACCGAAGCCCGCGGGTGCCCGCCCCTCCGGGGTGGCGAGGAGGCCGTCACGGCGTCCCCTTCGCCTCCACGTGTACGGATGCACGACACGGTCCGCTCAGGCATCCGCACATTTTTCATTCACTGTCCGGAATGAGGGACCCTCCGGACTCCGGGCGCGCCTCGGGGAGCCACCTGAACCGGGGACAGCGACCACAGCGAGCCGGGGGCGTGGCCTTTCGATTGCTCCGGCCTGGGCGCT